TATTGGCCAGTGATTCGATCATCATATTGTTGGTATCCGGATCGGGATTTTCTCGCGTGGACGCACGGCAGCTAACGGTTAGCAGGATCCTGATCCTGCTAACCGTTAGCTGCCGTGTGAGAACATAGCCTAACTTAATTTAGCCTTATGTGTGGTATTGTTATGCAAATGAGCCAGATAAGCACAATCTGGATATGCTCAGAAAAACAAAACTTTCCTTAGCCGCACGATGGCCACTCTGTGTATCGGCTAGGCGTACAGCTAGGCCTAGCTGAGAATTACGGTACGGAAAAACAAAGTAAAATAAGGGTACTAATTTCACTTGGCATGCAAATCAATCATACTTACACACTTAAAAACAAACTAGTCTACCAATAAAATCACCTGCAGGTTAAGATATAAGGCAAGTATGTCTACAATTTTGATTTTAAATTGATGTGATTAGGCTAGCCTAGACCCGGCCTAGGCCATGTCTAACCGCTTATAAAAATGCAGAAAAAAGACCCAAAACAAATTAGAATGAAGTTATCAGCTATGTAGTGCATTGAAATTATTCATATACTTACTACTTACCTATATAAAATTAAAGTGTATTGCCCACAAACGCCAATATTTGGATTTTAGTACGCCTTTTCCACGAATCGGTAGACATCTTGAAGTGATGACAAACAGCCTAAGTCAGTGGTGCGTAACAAATAAAAATAAGATAAGCTAGGCCTAGCTGCTGTACGCCTAGCTGCTGTACGCCTAGCCGATACGCAGTGTGGCTAAGGAAAGTTTTGTTTTTCTGAGCATGTGCTGATTGTGCTTATCTGGCTCATTTGCATAGCAATACCGCACATAAGGCTAAATCAAGTTAGGCGGCTTAAACCAGCCAGCTTTCTATCCTGGTAACAGTTAAAAATCCTTGGAAAAACCAACAATTTGGCACTAAATGAGTCCGAAAGCCGGTGTGGCATTGGTCCTAAGAGCAAGACAGACCAGGACCAAAGAGGATCAGAAATTGAGCAGCCAGGTAATATATGGAATTGGTGAATTCTGGTACCTTTTGGTACGGCAACGTTGTGAGGTGATAAGTGAATCATGTCTTAAGTTTTTATTATTAGGATTTGATGGAGGAAGCATATGACGAT